TGCTGCTGCTGCTAAAGGGGGCTTTCAAATCTGTGGGGCAGATCCTTTACATTACAGTGCATTTCTTGGCATTAATTTAAAAAATGTTTACTGCTTTTATATGCTTTTTTAAAAATAAATATGCAAAACAAGCATTGAAACATGTGAGGTTTTAATAATGATGATTGACTAGAAAACTTAAATCAGTGCACTCCTACTATTTTTTGCTAACAGTGAAAACAGTTAGTCCTGCTACTTGCAAGAGTGCAATCTGCTCCCAAAACTTGACATATTTAACCCTCCAGCGTTCTTAAGAGACAAGATCATTTGAACTGCACTGACTTGTTTTCACTTTTACAAGGTTTCCTTTGTATGGTTTCAGAAACTGAAGGAAGACTAGTCTGATGGGACAACCTGTCCTCGCTGTCCACCCATGACATTTGCTGCACTCTTCCTGAGCATCACGATATCCACTATCGTGGTTCCTGAGACCATGATAGTGTTAAGAAATGCTGATATCTTTGCCTTACGCCTCTTCTGATCTCCTGGGGGATCAGGTTGGGTTGGGGTGCTTCCCCCCTGATAATGGCAGGGGATACGTTGCACATATCATAGAGATCTAGAATACGATACATAGATTGACACCCAAATCAAGAGAAAAAAAGTCTTGGAGGCATTCCCTAAAATGTATGGGGGCAGTGGCCATTTTGGGTCAGAGGGCAAATTTGGGCCATTTCTTGTATTTACACACATTGAACTTCAGCAAACTCCTCTGGGATTTTGAGCCATCAGCTTCATCTTTGGTCAGTATGCTGTTAAGAAATTGGGGATTAATAGTTATTAAATAAAGATTTTTGAGCATGTTTACAGGGCGTGACTGACAATCCTGAAATTTGATACACACTTGTTGGTAGTGCCAGAGCTTTATCTGCGCCAGTGGCCACAAGACCAGATCGGCACCGAGCTGTGAGGGCCGCAAACACTGATTCAGCTTTAATTTAGGTTATTTCTCCTTGTCACTGTTTAAGATGAAATGATGTTTAACTAATTAGATAGATAATATCCCCTTTATTTTCAGTTTTGACATTCACATTTGCTGCCTCTATCAGATATACTGTACTGTTTAATTGGAATCGTTTGTATGATTCATATATATATATATATATATATATATATATAAACCACTGAGTTTTGTAGTTATCCAATCTCTGGTTGTTGTAAGACTTTAATTAAATGATGGAGATTTAGCCAGTTAGGATTGTTTTATTCTGTTATCTGTTGTGACAGAGATATGAGAACAGTTTTCATGTAGCCTTGCTGCCAGGAGGGGTTATAAAATATTCACATTAGGCTCAGAGGCGATTTCACTCCATGTGTGAAAAAGCAATCACTGTGAAACAAGTTTTAAGTGTCTGGACACAGAGAGAGTTGTTACAAAATTAACTTTTTAAAACTATGTTTAGCAACTCTTAATAGTGGTCAGCACAACGACTGTAAACATCAGTCTTTGTTTCTATATTATTTACTTTAACTAACTTCTCAAAGGCTAGTAGTTGGAGGCTGTACCCCAGAAACCTAGATAAGCCTGGTGGTAGTCGTGCCAGTGAAGTCCACCAGCTCTCTGCTGTGTTTTTTGTATTAGAAATGTTAAAAGTTGGCAGAAAATATAACTAGGCAATTATTTGTAATTGGAAGACAATATTGGCAATAGTTAGACACCAACTATAGAGTCTTAAAAAACACAATTAAAAGAAATATACATTTTTGGACTTTAGTTAAATCCTAATAAAGTAATCAGCCAGTGGATCAAGGGAATACTCTGGTTAAAAAATAGACCTGTCTGTGATTGACTGCTGGTGTGATTAAATTACTTTAACTTTATTAAAGTTGCAAGAGCAGACACAGAGCAAAGCCTGAACATCCATTGTGTTTGAGGTGTAAACACACACCGCACGTTATTCTTTGCTCACACATGTATATTCACTCACAGTCAAGCCAGGCCACCTGCCATGCTTGTAATACACTGGGGGAAACCCTGATAGAAAACAGTTAAATCTCACTTTCCACCAATGGTCCAAGCTGCAGATCCTTAGGCACTGCTGAGCCAACATGTCAGAGAAGCACACATAACCTTTTCTCCTTTGATGTCCTGCAGGTTATACAGAGTCCACACATCAGCATTGGCAGCTTTATTCTCCTGTGAAGGTGCTGTCTCTGACTAACAGTCACAGTATTAAGTCAATATGTCCTATTCTTAAATAAGCACACAAACATACTAATCATTTAACATGGTGTGTGTACTGAATGCAACCATTTGTTTGTATTGCTACTCCATTCACTACGTTAGGTCATCAATGAAGAGTAACCAACTGTCTAATTCCTAATTTATACTGTATTTTCCTGATCTTTTCTCAAAAAAATTCCATTTATTACATAGAAAAATGCTAAAAGCTTTAAATAGATTGGAAGTTTGACCCAGCTTAACCAGAAATCCAAATTATTACTTTACTGGCTTGGATTTTTTATTGGTAGGTGAAATACTGAACAATCAAACTGTTTTTATGTTTAGAAATATAGTAAAATTCACAATTTCTGGGTGTACAAACAACTCAAGCATCAGCATCTTACCTGATGCTGCGTTTTGTATTTTATGCACATGTTCCTTAGTTTTATGTAATTTTTTTTTTTTTTAGATTTATAAGAGGAAATAATCCTGTATTTCAGTGATTGATGGTCAGATTCACAAATTCTACCTGAATCAAAGAGCAAGCAGGACACTGAGTTTTATTTTTTTTGTAACAGTATTTTAGGGAAAAAAAAATCTCAAAGAAAAGCAGACTCTCATGAAGAGGAAGAAAAGCTACTGCTATAAAAGCAGCCACATTATGACACCTGATGTTGTACACTGAGTGTACTGTTGTGCTGTGAAACCCCAGACCTTGACATTACGATGGACAGAAAGCAGACCTGTACCATCCAGCAGACACTGCAGCAGACTGAGCTCTCCACACTCGGACCCTGGGCTGCTTCACCAGGACAAACAGGACCTACAAGGTTAATGTGGTGACTGTGTTCTTTGACCATAAACTGCACTTTATAGTTTATGGTTAACACAAACCAGGGTTCACTTTCTATGATTCCATCAGTCTGATTGAAATAAATTTGTTGAGATGTTTATGAGATGTAGGAACAAAGAATTTTCCCTTCATGTACGCAGCAGGTGTCGTCAGAGTGTTCTTTAGTTTTAGTTCTGGTTTAGTCACTGGTTGCGACAGAACGATCTCTAGGGAACTGTGATCACATTAACCAAAGACACACTGCATTGACGCTGCGGCAGCCAGCCTGAGTCGGGCCTTGGATAATACATGTGTGTAGATTGAAGGAAGAAGCAGAGTTTGACCTTTCAACTTGCTGGGCAGGTATTTTCTCAGAGAACACAGTGGAAGTATAGCGATAACTGAGAAACGTGGCTCAGGTTTAACACCACCATGACCCCGACTGCTTCCAGAAACAGCCGGCTCAAGTTCTGATGGAACTGCACTCTGTACCATCAGAACTTGATGGTACACTCTGTCATTAATCCCAGAATAACACATTGTTCATTTTCCAGGGATTATATGTTGGCAACAGGTGGAAATAAGATCTGTGAATTTATCATTGACTCCTGTTCTACTAACAATCCTTGAACAGCATTGTCGTGTTACATGTTTGCTAAAGCAACATGATCAAAATGTTTCTTTTTTTAAATAAAGTTCTCCCTTTTTATACTTTACTGGAAATTACATCATCTGCATACTCACCTGTTTTATAGCTGCAAGCCTATTTTTTATTCACTTTGCAACTCCCTATATATTTTTAGAAGTCGGACAGCTGGAGATGTGCAATATGGTACAAAATTCATATCATAATATTTATAAATATTGTGATAGGTGATGGTAACAATATATCACTATGATTTGTATAAAACTTACAATAAAAAGAAAAAAAAATACACTTGCATTCCATATTGAGTGGAATATATGTATTTGTGTTAAAACTGGTTTAACACTAGTTTTTGTGCATGTTATTTGTACATAACATGACCGTTGAACCGTTTTGTTTTACTTGCTGCCTATCAGTGGTAATGATTGGCTGAAGCTTAATATGAATGGTGACCACTTGGTTAGGTCAAAGTTACATAAGGAAATGAAAAGTATCTCTATATAGAAACACAATAACTGAACCTGAGCCAGGTGCAGATAATTGACGTTTTGCCCCTGTGTTTTTAGCGGGGTCTTCCATTGGGCTCTCAGCCATCCTGCTTCATCTGCTTTGATGCCAGATGGTTACGTCATCAACAACAATTACTGCGGTTAGCCAGTAGACTGCAGATCTCTGGCCAAATTTCTGTCGTTTCTACCGGTTACCATTTATACCGCCATGTTTCTACTGGCAGCCATATTGCATTTTTGTGGTTGAGGTTTTGGAAATCCTTTAATCTTCTTGGAATTGTTCCTATTTGTGTGGGGTTTATATCTGTAAATTTAAAACTTTAGTCTTTCAGCTCCCACTAAATTATGAATTTCTCTTTATCTCTGTGTTATACATGATGTCTGTCACTGTAGTACTAACTGAAAAATGTATTTACTGAGGTGGTCTGAGACCTGGATATTGACGTGAGCTTCAAGCTGTAATCAGTTATTGTAGATGAGGAGTAGTTTTTCTGACGCTGCCAGATTGAGTCTCTAGAAAATCAAATGGTCAGAAATCAGATGTGAATGGTTCATAAGTTCATTAGTTGGTCTCTAATGATGATGGGGTCAGAATTGTATTATTGTCTGCCTCACATCCAAATGACTGTCAGTTTTAGTTTTGAGTCTGAATTGTGCTTTGCATTTGATTGAAATTATTAATACACCGTACTGATTGGTCTTATTAAAAACATTTTTTGTTCCAGAAACGTCTCATTTTCATGATCCCAATATCATAAACAGTGTGTGTTTATTTCCCTGCCACTGATGATGCTCCTCTTTGTGTTCCAGGCTAGAAGTGTGTGTGCTGACCTCATGGTGTAACCGGATTAAAAATGAGCATTAGCAGTGATGAGGTCAACTTCCTGGTCTACAGATACCTACAGGAATCAGGTATCCATCCCCACTTCCACCAAAGAATCTGATTGGGTCTTCCACTACTTTACATTCAGACTTTACACCTTGTCACCTCACAAACATTATTTACTCAAACACATCATCACACCTTGAAGAACCTTCATAGTGAGTGATTTTCTGTAAGGTGATGAGCTGTTTACCAAACACTGTGAATGTGGGTTAGAAAAGAGCAAAGGCAGGAAGGAAACCACACAGAGGCTTTTAGTTCAGCTGTTCAGTGTTCCAGGTTTGATGAAGACCCAGAGCTTCATTTCTATTTTGTTTTCATTTTATTTCTTCTTGGCTGTCATTTGATGACTCAACATAAAATGTGGACTGATCACCCAGACGGTCATTAAACTAATTATTTGTAGTCAAAAATATTATATGCATTTCTTTCCATTTTCCATGATGAGAATCTGTTCATGCAAATTTTATTCATGCACAAAGTGCAAAGTTACATGAAACTTGCGTCTTCCTCGACACATATATTTTCCCCGTCTCACTCTTACCTTTTCTGCTTGAGCCGTTAGAAAAATGCATAAATTAGCCACATCATTGCATAAGCTGCAGGGTTGAAATGACAAAAGTCGCAGCTTATAGTCCCAATATTATGGTAAATATTTGCATATTTTATATTCACAGTAGACTTTCTGCTAGGTAAACATGGGTTTACTTCATGTTTGTCACAATAAAAGTCAAAACAAGATGCACAGAAAGATGAAGTGACTTTTCATCATTCAATCTTCAAAACCTAAGTTTAAAAAACTTTATGATGGGTTCTGTTTTCTCTGAGAGCCTTGGTTTCCATGGTGATACTGTTAAACACCCTCTCTGTTGTGCTCCTGTTTGTCAGGGTTCTCCCACTCTGCATTTACATTCGGCATAGAGAGCCACATCAGCCAGTCCAACATCAACGGAGCTCTGGTGCCCCCTGCTGCCCTCATCAGCATCATCCAGAAGGGCCTGCAGTATGTGGAGGCTGAAGTCAGCATCAACGAGGTGGGAAACAAGCCCCTCCCCTTCCTGTTACACCTGGTCCTGCTGCGGGAGCGTCCATCTTTGTTCAGCTCTCACTTCCCGTCTCTGTCCTCTCGCTCCGCAGGACGGCACATTATTTGACGGCCGACCCATCGAGTCTCTGTCGCTCATCGATGCAGTGATGCCAGATGTGGTCCAGACGAGGCAGCAGGCGTACCGGGACAAAATGGCCCAACAGCAAGCTGCAGCCTCGGCGCCGGCCGCAGGGGGCAGCATAGCCGGCAACGCCAAGAACGGAGAGAACACTGCCAACGGGGAGGAGAACGGAGCCCACGCCTTAGCTAGTGAGTAGGAGCTCCTGTTAGCAAAGCCACGACCCACATCTGCTGTGTGTGTGACACGTTTAACTGTGTCCACAGACAACCACTCAGATCTGATGGAGGTGGATGGAGACGTGGAGATCCCTCAGAACAAGGCCATGGTCCTAAGGGGCCATGAGTCAGAGGTCTTTATCTGTGCCTGGAACCCAGTGAGCGACCTGCTGGCGTCTGGGTCAGTTCCTCTCCTTCACACAGTATACACATCAGCTAGAATCTGGAAGATGTAATGTGTGTGTGTGTGTGTGTGTGTGTCTAGGTCTGGAGATTCGACGGCTCGTATCTGGAACCTGAGTGAAAACAGCACCAGCAGCTCCACACAGCTGGTTCTGAGGCACTGCATCAGAGAAGGAGGACAAGACGTCCCCAGCAACAAAGACGTCACCTCGCTGGACTGGAACGTGAGTTTATGCTAACAAGCTGTGAGGTCCAATTAAAGCCTCTGTCTTCAGACCAGATCATTTAACCAACCAGAGCTGTTCTGGGTAGGACAGATTTACAGACAGACAGAAGATGTTTTGTCCTTAATGTTTTGGACAGTTTAGCTTAATATTTGCTTTTAGTGTGTTGCTCTCTCAGTTATCTTCCAGTTAACATCTAATTGATTACATAGTTAATTAACGTTTCTTTCAATAATTAATTAGACAATCCAATCAATTGTTTTAACCCTACACGCATTGATGTCACTTTACCAAAACTACCTGTGGAACAGGAATGGACACACAACACATGAACATCATCTCATTTGTCTAAATACACACTGACACACACCAAGCTGCCATGGAGGACGAGACAGGTTACCATGGTGACTCAGCATCAGCGATATGGATGTCGTTTTTTGCTTTTCCAGACAGATGTTGGTTAATAAGTTGAGCATGGATCTACAGCTCAGCTTGCATCAGTAATGTTTGTGTTTGTGTTGCAGAGTGAAGGCACCCTGCTGGCCACAGGCTCCTATGACGGCTTTGCCAGGATATGGACAAAAGACGGTGAGATGGCGTTGATGGAAATAAAAAAATGTTTGTTCATGATCAGCTAGTTTTCATCATCATGTCCCTGGTTCCTGTCATCTCATTGCTATTGCACCTATTTACTGCCATCTACTGGCAGCATTATGTAATGTCATCAACTTTTGTTGTCGTCTTGCAGGTAATCTAGCCAGCACTCTGGGGCAACACAAAGGCCCCATCTTTGCCCTGAAGTGGAATAAGAAAGGCAACTTTATACTGAGTGCAGGAGTCGACAAGGTAAGCACATGATGAGAAGCTGATGACGTCTGAACTCTTGACACACAGAAGAGCTTAATTCATCGCTCCATCTGTTCCTACAGACTACAATCATATGGGACGCTCACACAGGAGAGGCCAAGCAGCAGTTCCCCTTCCATTCAGGTACAGCAGGGGCTCCTATGGGTTGTATAGGGACTGTTGGAGTCTCATTGAACTCACCAACATCCTGCTGTCCTTCTCCCACAGCTCCAGCTCTGGATGTGGACTGGCAGAGCAACAACACGTTTGCTTCCTGTAGTACGGACATGTGCATCCACGTCTGTAAACTGGGACAAGACCGGCCTATTAAGACATTCCAGGGACACTCAGTGAGTGACGTGGAGGCAGATACTGTCTGTGGTTTTAAGTCATAGGTTGAAACCGATGTTATTCTATCTCTACATGTCCTCATTTCTTTCTTTCTGCAGAATGAAGTTAATGCAATCAAGTGGGACCCTACGGGGAACCTGCTAGCATCCTGCTCAGATGACATGACGTTGAAGGTAAAACATATCGTCTCCGTTCCACATAAAACACAAGTTTTACCATTTCCGCCAACAAAAGTATTCCAAACGCACACTATACATGAAGTAATACTTGATGAGGGTACCAACATAGCATAGCCACATAGCAAGGAGAGGCTCAACCAAATGACAGTTAGCGCAGCTAGCTTCTTAGCTAGCGGTGCTTACCACTGGCCAAGTGTAATATCAGTTCAAACTAAACAACTAAACATCTTGTTTAGTTTCTTTTGCACATGTTGACTGTGGATGTCCAGTGGAATTCAGTTTAACAGCTTATGAAACCTGGAAGGTGACATTTGTTTTTGTTGTGTGATGTCTGTGTTTTCAGATCTGGAGTATGAAGCAGGACTCATGTATCCACGACCTGCAGGCCCACAGCAAAGAAATCTACACCATTAAATGGAGTCCTACTGGACCGGGAACCAACAATCCCAGTGCTAACCTCATGCTAGCCAGGTGAGTGTGTTGATGTGAGAAGACTGTGCATCACTGTCTGTTTCCATTCTGAATGTGTGCAAATCTTTCTCTATATTCTTCTAATGTAAAAAAAAAAAAAAAAAAAAAACAATTTTACAATCACAATGTTTCCATTGTATTAGAAATTAAATTCAAATGATATGTGAATAAGTATGTTTGTGTAATAAGTCATTAAAAATCATAGATGTAAACAGTTACCTGAGGTATATTCATAATTCAGTCATAGTGTTACATCTGACCGATCAGCCAATCAGAGGAGACGCTGGCGTTTTATTCAGGCAATGGAGCAACAAGCCCTGCCTGCTTGGGAGCGACTACATCTGAGGCGTTTTGTGGAAATTGTAGTTGGTGATTTTATAGAAGTTATGGATTCAACACCCAACTTGAGCTGCTTCTTTTTATTGCATTCTGTTTGTCTCCATACTTTTAAACAGGTTCTGCTAGCCTAAAACAGTAAAGTTACTGTTTTATTTCAGTAACTTTAACCAGCTGTGTGTGTGTGTGTGTGTGTGTGTGTGTGTGTGTGTGTGTGTGTGTGTGTGTGTGTGTGTGTGTGTGTGTGTGTGTGTGTGTGTGCTGTCTGCAGTGCATCGTTTGACTCCACGGTGCGTCTGTGGGACGTGGACCGGGGGATCTGCATCCACACGCTGACCAAGCACCAGGAACCGGTGTACAGCGTGGCGTTCAGCCCTGACGGGCGCCACCTGGCCAGCGGCTCCTTTGACAAATGTGTTCACATCTGGAACACACAGGTAGGCAGACGGGTCTGTAGATGGTGATACCGTTTATCGACCTCCTGTGGCCTCACACAGTACCTTCTGCCTCCAGACGGGGGCGCTGGTGCACAGCTACAGAGGGACGGGCGGGATCTTCGAGGTGTGTTGGAATGCAGCGGGAGACAAAGTGGGAGCCAGCGCGTCAGACGGATCTGTGAGTACGCAGGGCTGCAGGTTGGTCGCTCGTTGCCGTAGTGATGCCCCCAGCTGACCTCCGGCTCTTCTTTTCCAGGTGTGTGTATTAGACCTGCGGAAATAGAGCTGCTGTTCGCTGGAAGCCATGGACCGACCATGAATGTGTACATAGCCAAATGACTGTCCCTGCCTGCCCTGCGTACTGCTCACGCTTAGGCCCCGCCCACCGACTTACAGGAAGCAGGACACAGGAACAGGAAGCGAGTACCGACACAGCAGGTCCACACACGGGGATAAAGTGACAGATGGACGGAGTGGCGCCCCTTCTGTTGGGTCAGACTCTCAGAGAGAAGCAGAGGCGGGATGCAACGGAAATGGAGACGTGACGGATCGGAATATTTACCAAAATATGGAAGCTGTTTGGCTTTTTGATCTGGGAAACATTCCCATCGTCATCAAAATGTAAAACAATGAAAACGTGTTGATCTATGTTACTAGTCAGATCTTATTGTGGACATATCGGCTCCTCCACCACAGATAGGATGGCACTTAGGGTTTCTTTTTTTTTTTTCAGATCTCTTGTTCTATATTTTTTATCATGTGGGAGGGTCAAAGGTCATGGAGATGTCCCCCCGCTCTGCCACCCAGGCAGGTGGCAGCAGCGCCTCACTAAGCACCACCATGCTGATCAAACTCTGGATTGGTCTGATTCATCCACACGGGCAAATAACACATGATGTCCCCCCCTTAAACCTCCTCCCTGTTCTGACCTGGAAGCTGCAGTAGAACCAGAACCAGGTCCAGACTGACTGCTGGTTTGTTCTGATTTTTAATTGGGAGTACTGGGAGCTCTGTGTGTTTTCTACTGTTTTCCATGTCATTTTTATAGCTTTTTAAATTAAATGGAATAGTTTCCCTTTTTTCCAGTCATAACTTGTTTCCATTCAGCAGTATGGCGCCCTCCAGTGGCAGTGAGGGAAATGTGGCTGGAATATTTCCAGCCTGACAGCAGATGTCATCTCTGTGGATTTAGTCAGTACAGTGTACCAACGCTCCAACCATTAAAGAGTTTCCACTGAACCAGTTCCAGTGTGAAGCTGGTACCAGTGCTGTTCTTGACAGCAGTGGTTTGTGTTTCAACTGGTTGGACTGGGCCAGAACTTGTCATGGAGACCAATATTAACAAACCAAAACTTTGCATACACCATGTTTGAACCTCTGAAGTCCAGCTCTGGTTTAGTAATAAGCACTTAGCTGGCAGAAAAGAGCCAGTTAGGAAACATTAAATATTCACCAAGTCTCTTCTTGGAGCTGCACCAATAAATCAGGCTGAATTTGCTCAACTCTGGGAGCTGATTGATCAGCCGATACACACATTGAAAACCAATCTGATCCACTTTCACATCAGACATCGTCTCGTCCTGTGAGAGAGGACTGACTGACCACCAGGTCATGTCTGCACATGCATGGTTAGCAGTGGTCACCTCTTCATTGTCTTAGTGACTTTTAGTAACTATTCTGACAAAGTTATTGGTACCTGCCAAAACTGAAATCAGCTCCTCTAGTCTGTTTGGTTCTCTCTTCATTTTTGCTGACAGGTTGATTTCTACAGCCAGCTGTTTGGCTTTTCTGTCCTCTGTTCAGCTGAACTGTTGCTCAGAGCAACAGGATGTTTGGGTCAGTACCTGAGGTCAGGACAGGAAGGGCTGTAGAAATCCAGTTGGTGCAAAATTCTACAGGTTTCAACATTAAAGCAAAAAAACCCAAAACGTCCTAGTCCAACCAGTGTTGACGATCCTAAATAAGCCGGTTCAAATCAGAACGAAGGAGCTTTAAACCTGGTGTGAACATCTGGGCTGATCTAAGTCGTCGTATTATTAAAGAAAACGGCTGGAGATGATTTTTTTCCGTCACATCTTCACCTGATTCCAATCGTCTTTGTTGTGTCGACTCCAGTTTCACTTGTTATCATCCTTCTGCTTGCTTGAAGCAGCACTGGTCCCAGTGTAGTGGTGGACCCGGACAGACTGGGACAGTACTGGGACAGACTGGGACAGTACTGGGACAGTCTGGGACAGTACTGGGACAGACTGGGTCAGTACTGGGTCAGTACTGGGACCGTTCCACCATCTGCAGCAGGAAAACATTTCATCCCCCAGACGCCGTTCCAGACATGCCGTCCCCACAATTAGCAGGACGTGTCCACGTCTCTCTAATGATGACTGAGCATGGCTGAAAAGGAGCGTTTCCATGGCGACCACACATCCTCTGTGTTTTGCCTGCAGGTTTCAAGCTAATGAGCTCTTAGCAGCAACCTGAGCTGTTCAGGTCTGCATCATGACCTCTGACCTCCAGTCTGTTCCTCACCAAACCTCTGCTCAGTTTTCTACTCCTCTAAAGCCACACGTTGTCATTTCACTCATTTGGAAACATGAGGCGAGCAGCTGATGGTTTGGTTCTTTTTACTCTCCTTCCAGCAGTTAACCACTAAATGAATCAGTTTCCATGACAACGTGATCTGTTGGAAACATTTGTCCAACTGGCAGAGACACAAACTTTCTCTTTAAATCTAAAATAGAATAAAAAACAGGATTGCAATGAAACATGAATGTAATTTTCCAACCGAGCAACAGATGTGGAAACGGCAGATGTTTGACGGGAGGATCAGATCTGGAGGTGGAGCTGGTTGCCATGATTGCAACTATTTATTTTTTTTTTAAACTGTTGACATGGTTTATACATAAAACTGAACACAGGACATTTCCAGAAAATACTCTGGGTGTAAAACCCGATCTCTGAAATGTTAAAAATATCAACTCTTTCTACTTCTGATCAAATTAAAAAAGGAAAAACGAGCGAATTGAATCTTGTAAGCTTTACTGGACCAAAACCTTCCAGAAGCTCCTCCCTCTGACAGCTGCTGCTGCTGCTGAACGTTTTGTTTCCTCCACAAACAGAACTCTGGACTTCTGGCCTCCACAGATTGATTCATGTTCCTGTTTTACGTCTTGTGTGTGATTTTTTTTGTTTGTTTGTTTTTCTCGACTGTATTTGAAGTTCTGAAATCCAAACTTTCAGGCGGCCATCTTGGACGAGCCGCGGCGTTGCTGAAGCTGCGTTCTGGTCTGGATCAGTCTCCAGGGCTCCATCAGCACGTTTTCTGTTTTCCTTTGCAGCTTGCATCTCATCCATCTGTGTCATCATTTAAGTCAGATCAGTAAAACTTCAGTGCAGAATAAAATATATTTTGATAAGAGGTTTGAGTTTTGATTTTTCTGTGTGGGGGAAATGAAATGTGAGCAATGGGGGGAAAAAATGAGACGAAAAAAAAAACCACCATAGAAGAAATCAGTGACAGTCGTGTTTGTTTTATTTTATGTCAAAACACAGAATTGATTTTGGGTTTATGAACCAAATAAAACTTTGATTTCAATGTTCTTGAGCACTTATGTTAGTTTTTCTCAGTGGCCGACATTTTCAAAATAACAGTTATGCAACAGCAACAGAAAGCAAAGCAAAGTCTTCATCTTGGCCATGTCCTTTAGGTCAATGCTTTGGGAATGTTGTACATGTTGCTGTGATTTAAAGAACATGAGAAGTTGAATGTCCAGAACGGTAAAACGACGGTTTCTACTGCGTTTCCACAGAATTGACCGTTTACTGTAAAACCTGAAAAATGTTGGAAGATGACGGGACAACATCCCAGTTGTTCTGCATTTCCTGGGTTTACCTCAGAACAGCTTGTTGAACGTCACCCTGCAGGTTTTCTGATTCAGAACCGCAGTTCATAAGCCAATAAATATTGGGACGCAATAAAAAGGCCCAACATGGAGAGTTCAGTTTTTAAAAACATTTTATTGATCCCAGCGTGATTATAAAACATCACCACCACATGAAACCAGCGCCACCATTCATCAGAATGTTCCACTCAAAAACACCCAAAAATCCAAGGTCACCTTGTTCTTTGGCAAACTGTGACCTTTAGTCTTCAGCAATGTGACTGTGTGGAGCGTTTGTCTCAATTTGTAATTATAATAGTGTAGCTTAAAAAAACTGCGTAAAAGTGTAATATTTCTTGTCAGTCGTCTCAGAAAGTGACACTTTTTGTTGAGATTCATTAAGTTTTTATTGTTTTCTATTTCAAAAGTTTCTGAGGTGACTGGAAAGAAATGTTACACTTTTATCCAATATTGACATTTTTTAGATGTACCTGAACTCATCGCAGAACTTAGTTCACCTTGAAGCTGATGATGGTGGTTCATCTTCAGTCCATATTAATGAGTTTTCCTTCAGTTTCAGTGATTTTCTGGGTTTTCTCGGTCCTACCAGGACTGAACTCATTCCAGCCTTTTCTGCACTGTTGAACTGATCGTCCTTCCATCAGCAGATTCTGATCCCAACGTTCAGGAGAGAATAATAGGTGGCCAAACTGCTCTGACACACTCCACCTGTAACAATACTCTTCCATTATGCCATTTACATCAGTTATTGGAAGTTCAGAAGATACCCAGTTCCACCAGTGGCCTGGTGCTGCTGCTAGTCTGAAGGAGCTGAGTGGGGGAAGGGAAAGCTCAGCTGGAGACTGAACCTCAGAGGAGGAGCTTTGTGAAACAGGAAGCACTTTGTCACAATGAGCATCCAGGCACCCCCAAATGGTTGCCATGGAGATCTAAGGATTTCTCGAACAGGCATGAAAGAATCAAAGCAAGACTACAGGTATGTATTTGATGAGGGAATAACATTATGTAATATAAAAAAAGAGATAATTTTACAATGTTACATAATGTCTTCTGAATGACTCTGTTTCCTTATCTTGGCAAATATCAGTGAAACATGCATGAAGGTGGATTCTTCAATGTTTGGCAGCAAGTGAGGAGAGGAGGAACCCGGCTCCAAAAGGTCAAACTGGACTTTACCAGTTTGACTGTTGCCTCATTTACAAAGACTGAATGACTCAGTGTCATTCCAGCCAAACGATTCATCCAGAGGAACAACACACAAACAACATGACGACGTTCACCACAAACTCACCACCATCATCCATCCATCCATCCATCCATCCATCCATCCATCCATCCATCCATCCATCCATCCATCCATCCATCCATCCATCCATCCATCCATCCATCCATCCATCCATCCATCCATCCATCCATCCATCCATATAGATAGATAGATAGATTTTATGTATTTTAATGTGTTAAAAATTTCAGCACAATTCATCACATTTTTGTTATTTTGTGTACCAGAACCCAGAGCAGGAAGCTTGGTTTTGTGTTTCTGGTGCACAAGCGACATTCACAAACAGTGATGTTATGGCATTTCTGGATAAATCACAGCCATAAACGTCTGACCAATCACACAGTACATCACACAGAGCTCTGTGTGAAAACATTCATCCAGTGTGGAAACCGGCTCTCGTTGACGGAATCGTGTGACAGAAAATGCGTCCTCTTGTTCACATGTTCTCCTCCAGGCCGGGTCAAACAGACAGAGCTCTCTGTGTGTGTGTGTGTGTGTGTGTGTGTGTGTGTGTGTGTGTGGTGTGGTGTGTGTGTGGGTGTGTGTGTGTGTGTGTGTGTGTTTCATCCAGACTGAAACTTTGACATTTCACTTCACTCTCACGGTTTGGAATCCAAGTCCAAGAGGAAAGTTTATAAAAATGATGAATTATTTCTCTAATTCGTCACAGAATCCCTACAAAGACAAATGTCAAATAGTATTTTCATGCTTAGCTGGCATTGTGTCCTCTGAATCAACTGCTGTCAGGAAACAACCGGTCCATATAACGCATGAAGTGCTCAGCAGTCGGAGACTGGAGGGCCGGTCTCCTGCAACTTTCGTTTTCATGTCTCAAACTCATCTAGAAATGTCTGAGACTCCAATTCCTTAAAGTTCCTTTGCTTCCTGCATCTACATAACCGTTGGCTGACAGGTGTCTACTTACATGCATTTACATATTTAATCATTCGGTGTTGTGCTTTTAGTTCCTTATGAATCAGGATTTATAGAAGAAATCTTTATGAATTCATGTGTTCGCACAGCTTCCTACATCTGACTAGTACAAAGAAGTAAAAAAAAAAAAAAAAACTCAGAAATGAGAATATTCTTTGAGATTTTCTAGAAAAAAAAGGTTGAAATTTGTGAGAAAAAACTCAAATGTTGAGATCAATCTCAGAAATGTTCAAGGCAAACATTCCAAAAGTCAAATGTTGAGTTTCAAAAGTCTAAAACTTTTAACATTTGAAAATTTTTCTGAGATTCAAAAATGGAACATTTTTTAACTTTTGAAACTCAGAAGTTTTTTGGAGCCAGTTCTCTCGTCTTTGTTTCTCTGATTGAGCAGAAAATCCACACCAGTCTTTGTCCATGAGGCTCTGGTGGGGAGGAGAAGGGGAAACACCACTGATGCTGTTTTAGGCCATGATAAATACAGAAGCAGATTGAATGAAAGTGCAGTGCAATGACAATGAAATATTTCTTCAAAATGCTAAACTGTTCCTTAAAAATGGTGACAAGAAGAAGAAAGCACTTGCTCCGCTGCATCTCGGTGGCATGTTGACGTCGGCGCGCTCAGAGGAAGGAGGACAGGTTTGCTGCTGTGACGCTTCCTGTCACGTTGTAGACGTGCAGCTCCGGCTCAGGGCCGTAGTAAGGCAGGTAATGGGTCATGTCTGCCAATGTCTGCAGGACGTCATAGGTTACTGCAAACAGGAAGTATGTGGGCAGCAGCCAGGTGAGGCTGAACACACACTCCCCCACTGGCAAAGGGACGGCCAGGTGTCTGGAAACCAGGAGACAGAGCAGCGCTTGAATGCACCGCAGGGACACCTTGTGAGCAGGCGGCTCATCTGTTCAGGTACTCACTGGAATCGCTCTTCTCTGGACTCCCTCAGCATGATGAACACAAACAGGCCCACTTCAGTGTTGAGGGAAAATGAGACAACTTTGTCCAACATGACAACAAAACCCTGAAGTAGGTAGAGAACAGATTATTCCCACAAATGTATGTGTATGTCTGTGTGTGCGTGTGCATCTGTGTGTGTGTGTCTCATTTACCCTGGGGTCACACATTGACACAATGAAAATGATCCCAAATCCAAGCAGGGAAAATCCAAGTTGGGTGAAGCTGTGAAACAAAAAGACAAAAACGGAAAATGAATCGACTTCAAAACCAAAACAGATTATGCTTCTTCACTTTTCCAATGTCTGTCTCTGTGTTTCAACACTTCAGCTCGAGCTCTGACGATTCACTGCAGTGAAACAAATGAAGTGATATATGGCTGGATCAGGTTTTAACTAAGATAACACCTGGACAACAACACAATACTTGCATATAATTGAACAGATGAGTCCAGGATGAACCAGACTGCAGCAGCTCCATCACTCTCTTCCTTTGTCTTTCTACTCATGTTAAAACAGAAGCACTGAGTTCCAGTGAGCCTCCAGTTAACTTGGATCATCTGGCTTTTCCCTCATTGTGTAAAGAGACACTAATCATATTCTATGTAAGCTTCTGATTTTGAAGACAGATAAATCTTTGGTTATTAAGCTATCAAAAGAGAATTATTCCTGAACCTGCTCACGACTGCTATAACCCAACAGAAGTTGTTTTTAGGCTGCAATAAAGAGAATTTTGACTGACTTTTTGGAGCTTTCCTTGTTCTCAGATTGAACATGGACTCTCGTCTATCATCATTTAAAGTCTCCACCAGACAAGCCGTCCTGTCTCACCTCCTGGCGGAGCAGCGCTGGTGTTTGCTTGATGAGTTTCTCTCCCAGGCTTTGGCCAGCCACTGCAGCCGGCTGCTCCACACAGAGCTCACCAGACCATCCACTGGAAGGAAGGAAACACGCTGTCAGAACCAAACCCAGCAAAACATTTTGCAGCTCAGAGCAACCCCAGCCGGTCTGCAGTCAGGGAACTGTCCCATCTGCTGACGGCTGAAATGTCCAGAGCCTCTGTAGTGGCAGCAGAACTCACTGGTATGCTTCATGGCAGATCCCATCACCAGGAAGGACACGGTGATGCTGATGGCGATGAACACCTGGATCAGCTGGGCCACCCAGGAGTAGGCCCTGTAACGCTCATTAATGATCTACATGGAGGGGTGGAGGAGGTAGAGATGGTGGAGGTGGATGTCCAAATGACAATGAAGACCCGACAAGGGTCCAGGTAGACAGTGTTTAGAAAATCACAGCTCATACAGTGAGTGTCATATTAGCCTTAAAACGCTCACTGGTTCAAATATTCATGTTTCATAAAGACATGAATATTCATCCAATATTCTAACATGGAGAGTTTTCAGCTCCATCCGTCTTCCAGGTCAATAAGTTCAACTTTGGTTGCTCTTATCTTCTTCCACAACATCACACCCCCAACCTGCTGATCTTTTCCGTTTCACTATAAAGCAGATGTATCATAGGTTTCTCTTCCATAAGGTCAGACTGGTTGTCATATCAACAGATACTTCCTGCTCCTTCGATGTCACCGAGCCGCCTGACTGAAACTGTCCATGCCAGGTGAGTCCAGGTGAAATGCTCCATGTTTAGATCTGCATGGTTCCTTCAGCAGCTTAGACCTTTGGATGTTTTTAACTCTGCTTTATCCCTCTCCATTTCCTGCTCTGCTGTGTTTGTTAGTCTTTATGATGTTTGCTCTCAACGAAGTGGCCAAGATATTTGTTTTTATAAAGACCTGTCTGTAGCAAACCTCTGAGTCTCACCGAAGCCTCGCTCACATAGTTTAAAAATAAATCATGGTACACACTGTTACAGACAAGCTAAAATCCATGTTAGCAATGAGAATACTTCAAAACAACAGCAACTTTCTGTGAGGCATTAACGCTTATAAGACAAGATGATTTCCATTGGGAATTGACTGTAAGGAAGCATGTGGATAAACTGGCACATCAGTTACCACAGGATGTAACCTCAAGTCTCCGTTTCCCCTGGACACACACAAATACGGTGTTGTCAAACCTCCTCTGTGGTCGGAGCTTTTATTAATAATTATTTTTAGTGATATTAAACAGAATTTTTGTGAGGACGGTAAGGCCAGAACATAAACAGATTTCTGTCTATGTGTGGACTGAGATCAAATCACAAACTTTTCACTTTGCTGATTTCAACTGGTTTCACAAAATACACTCAGACATATCAGACTAAAAGGAGCATTTTAAAGTTTTCAGATTTGTACTCATATGAAATGTTGAAAATGTATTCTTCAATAAAACACCACCTCAGGTTGACCTACTAACTAAAATGTGTTGGGCTGTGAGAGGCGCTGAAGGACAGCAGAGCTCTACATGTGGAAGCACTGAGGGGAGAATATTGACTCCATCCTTTCAGGTTGTGTGACCTGGAACTGGGACTAAATGAGCTGGCCAGCGCCTGCAGCTCTCTGCTGCGTGGTTTTATTAGCACCACAGGTGGCTGTTTACAGAATGGAAGCATTGTTTTCTGGCTAATTGAATCCAAACACTGGTTGATCACATTTTTGTTACAGTTGACTTCATCCTTTATTATAATCCACGGGCCTCTTGGATCGCTCACCGGCTGCCAAAACCTCGACAGCTTCTCATGTTATTCATTTATGTTTGTCAGAAAAACACAGAAGACAAAAAGTGGAGCATCTAAAAGAGCAAAACCTAACATTAGTTTTACAGGTGTTTAAATTATTCTGTTTAATGTAGATGAAGTTAGTTGCATATGGATTACTGATCTTTACATCAGCTCACTTATAGACATTCACATTTATGTACAAACACACTCACACACTAGAGTGTATTTCCTCCATGGGAAGATAAAGAAAGGTTTCGTAGTCATAGATGATAAAGACTGAGTTGTGTTGCTCAACCTAACAACAAGCAGAGTTAGTGTCAACCTGAGGATTTGTCTTAAGAGACAATTTGTCAATAAGTTACTAAATGTGTTTATGATTCGTCTGATCAGGTTCAAATGATGATGAATGAAGCTGAGCTCCTTCTACTGTGTAGTTCTGACTGTAATCAAAGCTCCCACATATTCACTTATCTCAGTGTCACTACAATGGATTGTTTAGCTTAAATTAAGTGTCATTTTCATAGAAAAAGGTTAGCAAAATAAAATTTGGACTCATTTTCTAATTTCTTGATTTTATCGTGTACTGAAGATGAGAAGTCTCACCTTTGTCAATGGAATGGTAGCGATCTCTCCAGCCTTTTCAGACCTGAGGAAAAAATCATACACAGGCACACACACACGCCCACACACACACACACCCACGCACACACACACCAACGCACGCACACACACACAAACAGTTACTGTTGGTTGATCTGAAGAATACCAAAATATTTCTCACATCAGCAAATTGTTTAGCAATGCCAAGTCTAATCGTGTTGTGTGCATAAAATCTGTAAAGCAGGGGTGTCAAACTCCAGTCCTCAACAGCCACTGTCCTGCAGTTTTTAGATGTGCCACAGGTACAAAACACAGAAATGAAATGGCTTAATTACCTCCTCCTTGTGTAGATCAGTTCTCCAGAGCTTTGCTAATGACTGAATTATTCTATTAGATGTGGTGCAGCAGAGGCACATCTAAAAGTTGCAGGACACCGGCCCTCGAGGACTGGATGTTGACACCCCTGCTGTAAAGCATTAATCAATTCTGTCTCAGAAAACTGACACAGGAACAGTTTTAAATAAACAGGAACAGCCGGGTCAGGACAGAACTTCAAGTTTCCCTTCCTTTTCTTGTAGATGCTTGCTTTGCAAAAGGTTTTGGAATTAGATTTCTTTCAATGAAGGATCAAACTAATCCTGTTCATGGAGAGACTGTGAAACTAAACAAAGCAGAAAGTGAAACATGAGGATGGTGTCTGACATGAAGCAATGAAACGGGTTGGAAACGTTCTGATATTTCTTTGAACATAATTCAAACCACCCAGGTTACATTTGATGTGGATGAAATGGGATCTGGCAAATATGAGAAAAACCCATAATCAATGAATCCAAAATGGAACCATGACAGCCAAAAGAGCGTTTGTTGAACCAACATCCTGCCAGGAGAGCAACCTTCTAGTCAAAGCAACAGCCATTTGTGACAAGGTTGCCAGATGGGCTGTTTGTGTGTGAGTGTGTGTGTACATCAGCAGAAGTCCATGTGTGATAATAAGGAGCGTATTACAAAACTAGAACTCATCCTTAGAATAATAGTGTCAGAAGTTATTTTTATGCTGTTTTTATTAAACAAAACAAAAAAAAGCATAAAATGGAGGCAACACTCAAGGTTTTTGATGAGTGAATAACGTAAAATGGCACAGCTAAAAAAAGTTGATTTGACATAACACTGTCCCTTTAACACACCAGAATGCAAGAATTTGGAGGGTTCAGATGAGTGAATACTTTTGGCAGCATAAGGCAGCTGGTTGCTGGTGACACTGGGATCTGCTGTCAAACTTAGTTTATCTTTCCAAGTTTCTATTAAAAGTCTGACCACAATTTTTCTTCTCCACTAGGAGGTATGGCTCTCAGAGAGTAGAGAAACATCAGAAAGTGAAGGAATGGCCTAAATTATAAATGTGCTACCGACAGAAAGAAAAGGGAAGACACAGCGAGTTACTGATAAATCTATGAATCACTCCTTCCATTCTAAACTCTAATGTATTGTATTTGTTTGCAGCACAGGAGGTTTAAATAACAGAACTGAGACCTCCTCTGCAAAAGCAGAGAAGGTCTCTAGAGGTTGTGATCACAGCTGCAGGATGCTAGTGTGGGTAAAATAACTCCTGAAGATTTTTCACAGTTTAATATTTCTAATGGGGCCAGATAGATCAGGTTAACATCAGATGACCCAGCTGATCCACACATACAAATAAATCACAGGAAATTTGTCCACTAAGTTATGCATAAAAAAACATTGTTGAATATTGATGAGTCGAGTCAGAGGACAGTCAGTGCTGCCCTGATCTGATCATCATGGAGCATCTTTAGGAATGTGGGTTGTGGACGCTAGCATTAGCACTGGGGACGTCCTCACCATTCGCTCATTCAGAGCAGGTAGGGCTCTGTGGATCTGAGTCCTGCTTCTCCTCTTCCTCCTTCTCATGCATCTCTTGCTCTGTAGCTTTCATGTTCCACCACATTCAATTTCTGCCTGACCGCATGCCCTCAAGATGTAATTTTTATATGCCTGAACTCTCCAGTCGCCTCTGCCTTCTTCTCATCTGAGGTCAACTTCCCATCATTCTTGAGCTTTGCTTCTGCCAGACTACCTGATTTTCTCAAACATGTTCATTTCTTTAGTGTTCACTCACTTCAAGCAGTGTTACTTTTCTCCTCCGCCTTCCTGCCCCTCCTCCTGCAATGGTAGGGCTTTTAGCTTACAAACCTCAAACAAAACTAAAAAACTGAAATAAATGACTGGATCTAGCATGAGGGTTGCAGCACATTAGGATGAATTAGTTTTATTAGCTTTCACTGAGCAGATCCAACAGACTGACAGTTGTACATTTGTTCTCATTTAGGCAATTCACAATGCAATTCCTTAAGATAACAATTGATTAACACAATCTTCTTGAAATTAATTGACTATGCCTGAATAACAAGATCCGGATTTAATGATGTTTGATATAAATAATTAACATTTCAGACCGGTCTGTTGCTCCGTAAACGACTGCTTACTCCATACGCTGTGACAAACCCGGGCTAATTAAATGTTGCAGTGTTAGTAAGTGTGACGATAATCAGTGTGGTGTACTGGTGGCGTATCAGGATGCGTTTGATGTGAAACGTGGTCCCTTCTCAGAACCATGCTATGCAGATTGCCTCATGGTCTGCCTCTCCAGGATCAGGGTGAAGCCATCAGGCCATGATGGGGGCAACATCAGCGTTTTAAATCAACTGAAACTAGCAAGGCAAACAGTCCAGCCTGAACCCGACCCGGCCGGGTCAACGGCACAAACGGAGTTACTCACAAAGAGCAGGAAGTCAACACACACACAGTCTCTGCAACGAAGGTCTGCTTAGTGATTCATGAGAGTCATTTGCTGAAGGCTTATGAATGTATTTTAATGAATGTGTCTCCACTCTTTAATATCTGCTGAAATAAACAAAAATTACTGCTCTGCCAGAGGAGGAGTTTTGGTTCACTTCCCTTTACCAGATTTCTTATCCTCTTTCTGCTTCTGTTCTTTTTTTTCTACCAAAGCCTTTCAAATGAGGTGTGGGTTTTAACTAGGCCATTCCAACACCTTGTTGACCCAGTTTGATTCAAACTACAGCTGACTGTTGGTGGATGTAGAGGCAGATAACTCCACATTTGACTCTAAAAGACTTTGGTAGATATGGGAGTTCATTCCTGAATCAACTGATGAAAGTTCTTGTGCCTGTAAGATGAGAGTTGAGTGCTGAATGCCTGTTAGCAATAAACTAACAATTGGTCAGATCCAGAGGTCGCATTAATGGAATATTTTCCGTATTTGACCGTTTGACGGAAAAATTTGAAGCCAGTCGGTCATTTGACAGGTTATAATTGACTGGTGCACATGCGCAGGCATTATAGACTTTACTCAAAGAGATCATCGCAGAGGCAACCAAAATCAATCAATAAAATATCCTTTCTGAATATCATCTCATGGACACTGAACTAAATGCGTCTTTCTGACCGGGAGCTGACAGCATGTTGAACAGTTATGGACCGGACGCTTTGGAGCGCTTCTGCTTCAGCAGGGTAAATAAAGGAGCCGTCCCTGTGTTATTTCAATGGAGCAACTTCTGTGTTCAGCCTGAAAGAGCCAGTGTTTGGGAACGAGTGAGCAGACCAGAGCCAGACAGCCGAGCAACTGATCGGCCTGTACGATGCACTTCTGCAGATCATGCTTATTGCTCTGTCCCAGAACCAGCTGGCCTAGACATGGCAAAACATGAAAACGAGAAATTAAAAGAAGAAATAAAAGCCCTAACCAATCAGATTGAAGAACTGAAAATCCACTCGACCTTTGGATTACAAATGTTCGCAAGGTCTGTTGACAACATCCGATTTTACACTAGGTAATCTTGTACACCGCAACAAATCCTTTTCTTTCTAAAATTTGGGATACTTGCCCCAAATCTGGTTTCTTAATTAAACATGTAAATTAACAAAATAATGTAAGAACATTGTCCGTTAGAAAGAATAAGAATGTTTAGATATTTAAATACCTTAAATATAAAGTAAGACTTTAAAGTAAGACTTTCCTTTGTACCCATGAATGTATGATGAGACGTACATCTTAAAACCTTTTTCCAGTTTGCTTGATGGGGCTTTGGATCCTGCTTTACAAATACGATGTACATCGCTAATTGTTAGCTTGGCATGGACTGCAAACACCTACTGTAAAATGACAATTTTAATAAACTGGAAAAAACAGAGGCGCTTTTCCCCAAACACGGAAACTGACGTTCAAAAAGTCCATTAGCCCCGCCCCCCAGCCCGACTCTGACTTGTTCCGCTAGTCAGAACCAAAGAAAAAACGACAATCTGGGTCTGAATTAACATTTAACATTTTAAGTGAATCTTTAGTACAGCTTTTGAAACAAGAAGGTTTTCACCAAGGTAGACCAAGAGCTTTTAAATCAATGGGTGTGATGCCAGTTTAATGCAACTGGCATTACACAAAATAGATGCAAAATTCACTTTTTTAGCTTTAATTAAATTTTTTGTGTACTTTGACCGTCTAAGAGTGCAAAAATTGTAAATTAATGTTGTCCTGGTGCTGCACAGATATCATTTATTCTTTTTGGATTATATTTTTCAGTCTTTTCATTTTTTTCTATCCCCTAAAAGATTTTCTTGTCTATGACTTCGCCGCATTTGTTATGGAACTGCTAAACAAGGTTCTAACTTCTGGTTAAATTTTGTGATCTGCAGCAATTTTGTAGTCCAAGTTTCAGGTGTGCCAAAGTTGCAAGTAATCAAGTCAAAAAGTTTGGCTCTAACATGTATTAACACTCAGGATTCCTTACATCATCCTTCAGCATCAGAGCCTCTTTAAAGTGCCTGGGTCACTTAAGGACGAGTACTTCAATGATTCATGCCAGTACTAAGAGGGATTTTCCAAAACACTTTGTCTGATTGAGGATTTAACTGTTTCGTACGTTTTGAATAGAATTATTTGGATTTGTTTTTGCCATTTTTGTCTCATTCCTCTGTCTCCACATTTTCTTCAGATATTCCTTTTGACATTCC